ATGCATTGAATACATACCCAAGCTAAGTAGACGCTCGGGGTACGATTACCCCCCGTAACCCCTCGACCAATTTGGTTCCTACTCTCAAAACCCTCTCAAGCTCCATTTTGTCCAGAACAATGCAGAGCGGGCAAGCCTGGACGCAGTATTCCAGATGGGGCCGGACGAAAGCTGAGAACAGCTTCACAAATATGTCGGTAGTTAAGACCACGAAGAAACGGCGTATGAACCACAACATTCTGAAACCCTTACTAGCGGCCTTCTTCCAGTTGTCACCAGCATGCAAAGACGAGGAATGAACGTCAGCTAGGTCTACCTGGCTGGGGACAAGGGGAGTTCGACCCCACCGAGTACGTAGCTCGAAGGCTGGCAAGTTGCTCCTATACAAAGGACGGAACACTTAGCCTGATTTATGGGCAGTAGCCACAAAGTAGACCAGTCCCAGAGTCTGTCCAGTGCATGCAGTATGGCCTCAGAACCCCAGGAACGTTTACAACATTCCATAGCTTAAGGTCATCAGCAAACAATAGGGATGACACCCCAAGCTCTCCAGGGAGATCGTTTACGTAGATGGAGAACAGCATCGGTCCAAGGACCTATCCCTGTGAGACACTGTTAAGGACCGCTTGCTTTAAGGATAAGCTGCGACCCACACGTACACACTGCTCTCTTTCCCGCAAGAACGCAGATACCCAGTGAAGGGCGCGGCCATATACGACGTAGGACCTCAGCTTTTGTGATAGCCTCAAGTAGGGTACCTTATCAAATGCTTTCGGAAAGTCTACGAAAGCACATCCACTACGTGGCCATTGTTTATTGCCTCAGCCCAAGCTTCACGAGCAACCAACAAATTCGTCAAACACGAAAACCCCTTCCGGAATCCATGTTGTGCACTACTGAGTAGATTAAATCTATTCAGGTGACATTCCAACGAATCTCTCACAAGCACTTCAAGCAGTTTGATCACGACGCTAATCAAACTAACTGGCCTATAATTGTCTGACAGACTCCTGTCGCCATTTTTGAAGACAGGACAGATGACAGTCTCGAAATGAATTGGAATATTGGTAGCTCGGGAGGCTTGCTCAGTTGTTGTGGAGTTCTCCGAGCTGGGCAACTTGGTTGCAGACGTTTGGGTTTGCTTTCTACCAGCTACTGCTACTTCACTGCTACCAATCCCGCACTGAAGATGCCACCTCGAATGGTGGCGAAACGTCTGCAACCAAGTTGCCCAGCTCGGAGAACTCCACAACAACTGAGATGACAGCCTCCTTCCATTCGGTAGGTAACGCACAGCTGTCAAGTGACTTCTGAAACACCATCGTCAGCGGCCCACTTAGTTCCCCCGCCAACTCATGCAGAAGCTTCGGGTGAGTTGATTCAGGTCCAGCTGCTTTGAAAGGGTTCAGTTCTTGCAGCAGTTTAAGGGCTTGCTTTTCCACCACAGTAAACCCAACTAAATAAGAACCCTCAGGTACTCTGGGGACAAGTTCAAGGCTAGTCAACGCGACCTCACGTACAAAAGCCCCTGTATACTGTTCCGCAAGTACACGAGCCTTATCTGAGTCCGCATACGCACGAGTTCCATCGGCCCGCATCACAGTTGGGATTACCGAAGTTGAACCACAGCGGCTCTTAACATAAGCGAAGAACTTCGGATTTTCCGAAGCTCCATCAGCCAATTCGTTTTCGTACACCAGCCGAGCTTTCCTTAATTGTTGTTTACACTTATTTCTATTTATTTACAATCTTAAGGTCCTTATAACTTCAGTAATATGGATCATTGATTTTAACTTTAATTATTCATATACTTATCGGTATGGCTATGGAAAGTGGATAAATATGGTAACTTAGTTTGTCTATGTATATGGCTAAAGATTTCCTTTAATGTATCTTCACCAAAGGATTTAACACATTTATTATAAAATGTTTACTATAGTTTAGCTTTATTGCTTATTGTTTGTTCCTTTGAATCAGAACATTTGTACGTCGTTGAAAGTTCTGCTGAATCAGCGAATGTCTACTTCAAAAACTTTCTCGCCAGTCCGTTATTTACGATTTACTCTTGGTGGGTGTGGCCGAATTCGACTCGGCGGGTTTATTCACCATAATATGTCTATTGATAGAAATCATTACACAAAATGTTATGGAACGGATGATAACAATGGAATGTACTTGGTGTTGTGTTATAATAATATTTTATATTTAGGATATAATTACATTAACAGTCGTCTAAAAAGGCTGTTGTTGTTTAAATGTACCGTCTATCGACATTTGAAGCGAGGCGTACATTTTACTGCCGTAGCTGTAACGAAATCGAAACCGCCTTGGGTCGTTTTAAAGGCTACTTAACTGATCTCTTTCTTTTCTCTTTCATTTGCAGATTCTCGAGAAACCACAGATATATGAGAACGTGCGAAGGCACTTTACCGACCCAAAACTCTGACATGCCCTGTTTGTTTTGATTGTCTTCTCAAGGTCCTGTGCGCCTCTTCTTTTCCTGCTGTGGATAAACGTGCTTGCCCCGTGTCTGCTCGTTTTTGCTAGTGTCACGGTTGCGTATTGCGATTCTGTGACTGCCCGCTGGCTGCGTGTGCTTCTCGCGTCGCGTGTCCGCTGTGGTTGACTCCGTGCTGCTTTCTACCGCCGTTGATTCGTTCCGTACCTGTTTTCTAGCTCCCGCCGATACCCCACTCCAGGAACATTGTTACATAGCCTTTGGTGGTCATGTCCGCTTTGATGCTGTTGTGCTACGTATACGCTGTGTTCTTGAGTTCGCATGGTACCTTAAACTTGCCAGGTTTATTATGCTAACCTGTAATACTTGTAGCCTTGGTGTTTCAGAGAAACGTTCCGTGCTTACTCATATTTTTTATGTGAGGGGACCTACAAACGACTGTCACAGCGGCAGTTAAGTCACGTATTAGCAAAAACTGTTCCGGCAGAAGCTTTTGTATATACGTGAAATAATACTTCTTCTTGATTCGACTTGCATGTGGGTTAGCTAGAGATAATATCTCATAAGTCTTTTTACTATTATGAGGAATACTCGGCTCAGGTGCGTTCTTTAGTCGATGGCCCTAGTAGTGTAGGTTCTTACTTATGTTATCCTTATCGGATAGGCGACCATGATTTACCCATAGCGGATAAATTGCATGCTATGCTTGAGAAATTTGCTTTAGAAGCACTTGATGGCGCTTTTCGACTGTTGTCCCGAGAATATTTGGAATTGCAAACCGCCCGCGACAGCTGTGGAAGTTTGCTGCATGGGCTGAATCCGCTGTTACAGCGCATTCTTCGACCTCCTAGATCCTCTGCATCTGTTGTAGCCTCAAGCGGTAAGTACGGACATTAATTTTGTGTGATGGTATGAGGAACATTCTAGGTGTGGAACGGATGCTTTCCAGCGGTTGTATTTGTCCTTGGTTACATATTAATGGATAAAGGCCTCTTGGATCATCAAAGCTGCACCTTTAGCTCATCAGGTGTCACGTTATTTCCCCCGTAACCAAACACCTTGTCACCTGATTCTAGTAGCTGTAGTCTGAGTCACACCAGCGACGTAATGTATAGAACGCGCTTGCAAATTATGTATACTAGACAAAATTACATAAGTTTTAATGTAACATAGGCACCGGTGAGCGCCGCCAGTCTGTGTTAGTGCTTCTTGATTCATTGCTGTCTCTGTTTGGCTACCTCTT